CTGCCCTCCTATTGCTCCTCTACATCAGAGGCCGGCTGCCTGGGGCTTCAGAGCCACCTGGGGCTCATTTGGGATCGCTCCTCCGTGACCGTTATTGATGAAGCACCACGCCGTCTCGTATTCACCACCACCACCACCGCCTGTGTGTGTGTGGTACACATACACGTGTCGGTGTGTACCACACACACACAGACACGTGTCTGTGTACCACACACACACAGACACGTGTCTGTGTGTACCACACAGACACGTGTCTGTGTACCACATACACACGTGTCTATGCGTTCCACACACACGTGTCTGTGTACCACACACACACACAGACACGTGTCTATGCGTTCCACACACACACGTGTCTGTGTGTACCAAACACGCGTCTGTGTACCACAAACACACACACACACGTGTCTGTGTACCACACACACACGTGTCTGTGCGTACCAAACACGCGTCTGTGTACCACAAACACACACACACGTGTCTGTGTACCACACACACACGTGTCTGTGCACCACACACACACGTGTCTGTGCGTACCAAACACGCGTGTCTGTATACCACAAACACACAAACACACGTGTCTATGCGTTCCACAAACACGCGTGTCTGTGGACCACAAACACACACACACACGTGTCTATGCGTTCCACACACACGTGTCTGTGTGTACCACACACACACACACGTGTCTATGCGTTCCACACACACACGTGTCTGTGTACCACAAACACACAGACACACGTGTCTGTGTGTACCACACACACGTGTGTCTGTGTACCACACACACACGTGTCTGTGTACCACACCGACACGTGTCTGTGTGTACCAAACACGCGTGTCTGTCTTCTTTGGATCTTTCGGTAAAGTCACGTAGAATGAGAATAAAATAATAAATTAATAAAATAAAATAACACAATAAAATTCTCACGACGTTTCGGCCACAACACAAGTGGCCTTCTTCAGGTGAAAGGAACAGACCTGTCGGGACGACAGAGCTTCAATGAACGTTGTTAAGATTCGTAGCGTCTTTTAAGCTTAGTTTAGAGAAGTGAAGCACCTTGACAAAGGGGTTTACATATGTGTACCACACACACATGTGTCTGTGCGTACCACACACACACGTGTCTGTGTTCCACACACACATGTGTCTGTGCGTACCACACACACGTGTCTGTGCGTACCACACACACACACGTGTCTATCCATCACACACAGACACGTGTCTATCCATCACACACGGAGAGGCACGTCACTTGTCCACGACCACATACATCTTGTGCACAAAGACAAATTATTATTTTTACTTAAAACTTTCGTGACTGCAGGAATTCATATTCTTTGGTTATTTCGGTAAAGTCACGTAGATAGAAAACATATCTTGTTATTTTCTATCTACGTGACTTTGCCGAAAGAACCAAAGAATATGAAAGACAAAGCTCCCCCGTGTAGCCCAGACACAAAGTGCTGTTGTTAGCAAGTAGCAGCGCCTATTAAGGAGGGGGTGGGTAGGTGGCCAACTCCACGCCCGCCCGGCCGCCTTTGTCTCCCAGAGTAGCGATGTCGCTATCCACCCAAGGTGCGAGTCCACCACACACCACACACCACATCCCTGTCCACCTAAGGCGTGAGTCCACCAACCACACACCAACCACACACCAACCACACACCACACCCCTGTCCACCTAAGGCGTGAGTCCACCAACCACACACCACCCACACACCACCCACACACCACCCACACACCACCCACACACCACCCACACACCACACCCCTGGCCACGCAAGGCGTGAGTCCACCAACCACACACCACCCACACACCACCCACACACCACCCACACGCCAACCACACACCAACCACACACCACACCCCTGGCCACGCAAGGCGTGAGTCCACCAACCACACACCAACCACACACCAACCACACACCACACCCCTGTCCACCTAAGGCGTGACTCCACCAACCACACACCAACCACACACCACCCACACACCACCCACACACCACCCACACACCACCCACACACCACCCACACACCACACCCCTGGCCACGCAAGGCGTGAGTCCACCAACCACACACCACCCACACACCACCCACACACCACCCACACACCACCCACACACCACCCACACACCAACCACACACCAACCACACACCACCCACACACCACCCACACACCAACCACACACCACCCACACACCAACCACACACCACACACACACCAACCACACACCAACCACACACCAACCACACACCACCCACACACCAACCACACACCACCCACACACCAACCACACACCACACACACACCAACCACACACCACACACACGCCACCCACACACCAACCACACACCACACACACACCACCCACACACCAACCACACACCACCCACACACCACACACACACCAACCACACACCAACCACACACCACACACACGCCACCCACACACCAACCACACACCACACACACACCAACCACACACACACCAACCACACACCAACCACACACCACACCCATGGCCACGCAAGGTCCACCAGGTCGTGCAGCCTCCCGGGGTATCCTCTCCCCAACTCAAAGCCCCTCTCACGCATCCACAAAGAGCAGCGCCTGCGGGGTCATCAGCGCCGTGAGCAGGGCAGTGAACTTAACGTGGGGTCATCAGCGCCGTGAGCACGGCAGTGAACTTAACGTGGGGTCATCAGCGCCGTGAGCACGGCAGTGAACTGAATGTGGGGTCATCAGCACCGTGAGCACGGCAGTGAATTTAACGTGGGGTCATCAGCGCCGTGAGCAGGGCAGTGAACTTAACGTGGGGTCATCAGCGCCGTGAGCACGGCAGTGAACTTAATGTGGGGTCATCAGCGCCGTGAGCACGGCAGTGAACTTAACGTGGGGTCATCAGCGCCGTGAGCACGGCAGTGAACTTAATGTGGGGTCATCAGCACCGTGAGCACGGCAGTGAACTTAACGTGGGGTCATCGGCGCCGTGAGCAGGGCAATGAACTTAACGTGGGGTCATCAGCACCGTGAGCACGGCAGTGAACTCAACGTGGGGTCATCAGCGCCGTGAGCACGGCAGTGAACTTAACGTGGGGTCATCAGCGCTGTGAGCAGGGCAGTGAACTTAACGTGGGGTCATCAGCGCCGTGAGCACGGCAGTGAACTCAACGTGGGGTCATCAGCGCCGTGAGCACGGCAGTGAACTTAACGTGGGGTCATCAGCGCCGTGAGCAGGGCAGTGAACTTAACGTGGGGTCATCAGCACCGTGAGCACGGCAGTGAACTTAACGTGGGGTCATCAGCGCCGTGAGCAGGGCAGTGAACTTAACGTGGGGTCATCAGCGCCGTGAGCACGGCAGTGAACTTAACGTACCACGGCGCTGTGCGGGTCAAGGAAGTGTCTCAGTGCGTGCGCCCCTCCCCCCATGGAGATCCATAGACTCACATGGAGACCCGAAGACTCACATAGAGACCCATAGACTCACGTAGAGACCCATAGACTCACATAGAGACCCATAGACTCACATGGAGACCCATAAACCCGCATAGAGATCCATAGACTCACATGGAGACCCATAGACTCGCATAGAGACCCGTAGACTCACATGGAGACCCATAGACTCGCATGGAGACCCATAGACTCACATAGAGACCCATAGACTCACATAGAGACCCATAGACTCGCATAGAGACCCGAAGACTCACATGGAGACCCGAAGACTCGCATAGAGACCCGTAGACTCACATAGAGAACCATAGACTCGCATAGAGACCCATAGACTCGCATGGAGACCCGAAGACTCGCATGGAGACCCATAGACTCACATGGAGACCCATAGACTCACATAGAGACCCGTAGACTCGCATAGAGAACCATAGACTCACGTAGAGACCCATAGACTCACATAGAGTCCCATAGACTCACATAGAGACCCATAGACTCGCATAGAGACCCGTAGACTCGCATAGAAAACCATAGACTCGCATAGAGACCCGTAGACTCGCATGGAGACCCGAAGACTCGCATAGAGAACCATAGACTCACGTAGAGACCCATAGACTCACATAGAGACCCACAGACTCGCATAGAGACCCGTAGAATCACATGGAGACCCATAGACTCGCATAGATAACCATAGACTCACATACAGACCCATAGACTCACATAGAGACCCATAGACTCACATAGAGACCCATGGTCTCAGAGTCCCATATACTCACATAGACATTTAGACTCACTCAGAGACCCATAGACTCAGAGACCCATAGACTCAGGGACCCATAGACTCAGAGACCCATAGACTCAGAGACCCATAGACTCAGAGACCCATAGACTCAGAGACCCATAGACTCAGAGACCCATAGACTCAGAGACCCATAGACTCAGAGACCCATAGACTCAGAGACCCATAGACTCAGAGACCCATAGACTCAGAGACCCATAGACTCAGAGACCCATAGACTCAGAGACCCATAGACTCAGAGACCCATAGACTCAGGGACCCATAGACTCAGGGACCCATAGACTCAGAGACCCATGGCCAAACGTCCCAATGTCCCAGCAGCCTCCTGGCAACGAGCCTCGAGGCGCAGTGAGGCTTCCACGTGTCGCTGGTGACACTGGGTAAAGTCAAAACCCGCACGCGCGCGCGCGAGTGTGTGTAGGTGTGTGCACACGTGTGTGATAGGTGTGCACACGTGTGTCTTTGTGTATGTGTACCCATGTGTGTGTGGTGTTGGTACCTACATGCATGTGTCGGTGCAACCGTACGCGCACGTGTGTAGGTACAGTATGTGGCTACTGCTATAAATGTCCACGTGACGATGCTGATGATGATAAGCCACTTCGTTGAGCTGTCATTTGTGATGGGTGTCCACGTGTGGGTACACACGTGTTCTAGATACATGTGTGTGGGTACACACGTGTTCTAGATACAAGTGTTGTGGGTACACGCGTGTGGGTGCGCACACGCGTGCATTGCAGCCGTCACTCACCGTCGGCCGAACTCCCTTGACTTCCAAATCCTCCGCAGTGCATCCCGGGCACCGGGTGCCAACCCAGGCCCCCCGAGGTGGCCAGCGAGCCCTTGTCAGCCGCGTGGACGAACCACGGCGAGCCGCCGCCACCGCCTCCCCCGCCGACTCCGGGCGTGGACGACGAGGACGAGGGACAAGACGAGGAGGACGACGAGGAGGAGGAGGTGGAGGACGAGGAGTTTGACGACGAGGACATTGCTCCGTCTTGAGGAGGCTGCAGGTGGTGGTCTGACGGGGCTGAGGTCTCCATCACGGACGACGCTGATGACGTCGTCATCCCGTACACTCTCCTCGTGTGCTGCTGCTGCTGCTGTAGCGATAGGTGATGTCCCTGCTGCTGCTGCTGCGTGTGATGATCACTCGCCATCTGTCCAGACATCACTCCTCTGTGATGTCCACTCGGAGACATCTGATTGCCCTGCTGCTGCTGCTGCTGCTGGTGATGATGGAGTTGATGATGCTGCTGTTGCAGTTGATGCTGATGTTGGAGAAGCTGCTGCTGATGATGATGATGCTGGTGATGCTGCTGCTGATGCTGCTGATGCTGCTGCTGCTGCTGTAGAAGAACGTCATTCGACTGAACTCGAATTTGCCCCGACGACTGCTGCTCACCTGGCGAGGTCATCCCCATCTCGGTCGAGTGAGGAGGACCGCCGCCCACGCCGCCGGCGGATGACGACGAAGATTGCGGCGGAAGAGGAGGCGGTGGAGGAGGAAGGGCAGAAGAAGATGCCGATAATGACGACGGTCCGGCGGAAGCACCGGCGGCGGCGGGAGCAGCGGCGGCAGCAGCAGGAGGAGCGCCGCCGGGAGGGCCTCCACCCGGCGGCGGCGGCCCCCCCGCCGACAGCGCCACGGAGGAGATGACGCCGTCGATGGCGCAGGGGTCCGGGCAGAACTCAAGGAGGGGCGAGGCATCGCTGGGCGGCGACAGGCTCTGGATGCCGCTGTCGAGGGACGCCAGCAGCAGGTCGGTCTGCTTGTCCCCCAGCGCCGGCAGGTCCGGGTGGCCCGAGGCCCAGCCGCCGCCGGGTGACGAGATGCAGGCCTCCGTGCTGGGCGCCGCCGACGCGGCCGACGGCGGCGGAGCTGCTGACGACGACGACGACTGCGGGATCTGGGAGGACGTTGAAGCGGACGAATCGCCGACACTACCGCCCCCGCCACGAGGAGTCGCAGTGTTTCTGAGACCCGGACTGCAATTCTGTGATGCGGATGTTGATGTGGCTGCTGCTGCTGCTGCCTTTGAAGTTGTAGCTACGGTACCAGTAGCGCCGCCGCCTCCTCCGTGACTGATGATGTTGTTGATGTTGTTGTTGTTTTTCCTTCGGCCACGACCCCTGCCTCTCCCTCTCCCCGTGGTCACGATCTCAGATCCTCCTCGTCCGGACGACGTCCCGATCCCACCGCTTGCACCACCACCTCCACCTCCTCCTCCTCCTCCTCCACCTCCTCCTCCTCCACCTCCTCCTCCACCTCCTCCACCGCCAGCAGCAGCAGCAGCAGTAAGTGTCCCTGGGGCTCGGTCAGCCGGCGAGGAGAGGAGTCCCCCGCCGGCGTCTCCGTGCTGAGTGGGCGTGTGAGCGTTGCCGGCGCCCTCCTGCTGGTGAGCTCCCGTCGGGGTCGTGGCGGTGCCGCCGTGAGCCGGAGACTCGGTCTCCACGGCGCACGACAGGGGCACGAAGTCTCCGCCACCGCCAAGGGCTTCCTGCTCTCCTCTGCCTTTCCCTTCGCCCGACGGCGTCCCGCCGCCGCCGCCGCCGCCGGCACCGCCGGCACCGCCGGCCTGCTGCTGCTGCTGCTGCTGCTGCTGCCGCTTGCCGTAGGTGACGTTGAGGCTGGGCGCCCCGAGGCTGGCGATCATGTTCTGGCACGCCGTGGACAGAGCGGCCAGGCAGCTCTGCCCGAAAGACGACGACATTCCACCTGCACCTCCTCCGCCTCCGCCTGCCGCTCCACCACCTCCACCCGCTCCCCCGCCCGCTGCCGCTCCGCCGCCGCCGCCGCCGCCGCCGTTGCCGCCGTTGCCGCCGTTGCCGCCGCCGCCGGCGATGGCCGCGGCGTCCTTGCCGTCGGCGTTCCCGAGCGCCAGCGCCCCCAGGGCGAGCGTTCCGCCAAACTTGCCGCCCATGGGCTGGGCGTGCGGCACGGCCCTGCAGCCGTGCGGGGCCATCGCCATGCCGGCCTGCGTGCCCGGGTAGCACGCGCCGCCCTGCTGCTGCTGCTGCATATTCCTTAAGTGTGGCGAGCGGCGCAGCATTGCAAACTCGAGCTGCTGCTGCTGCTGTTGCTGCTGCTGCTGCTGGTGGTGGTGATGGTGATGTTGCTGATGTTGTTGTTGATGTTGTTGTTGGTGGTGGTGGTGGTGATGTGCCGCGTACAGGCTGGGACTCATCTTGCTCGGGATGCACATCTCACTGTGCATCATCGCCGACAGCGGCCCCATCTGTGGCATAAA